GGGGGGGGGGGGGGGGGGGGGGGGGGAGGGGGGGGGGAGAGAGAGAGTGAGAGTGAGTGAGTGAGGGAGGGAGGGAGGGAGGGAGGTTCAAGCCACCCAATGGAGAATGGTTTGCACATGAGCAGACAGCAAAGATCTGAAACACTGGAGGTTCCAGAGTCCAACATTCCTGTACCTGGTTCAGGAAGCGCACACACCAGCTGAAAATCTAAATGCTGAGAGGCTACAGAGCTCAGAGGTACAGACAGATCTGTGTGTCCTAAAGCATGCATCACTAAATGTTAGTGTGCAGGCACAGTCAGTCATCTGGAAAGCTCAGGGAGTTCCAAGGTGCAGTTTCTCAGTGGTTAACACTGCAGCCTCATAGCACCAGGGACCCGGGTTCAATTCCCTCAGGCAACTGTATGTGTGGAGTTTGCACATTCTCCCCATGTCTGTGTGGGTTTCCTCCGGGTGCTCCGGTTTCCTCCCACAGTCCGAAGATGTGCAGGTTAGGGTGGATTGGTCAGAGGAGAAATGTGGGGGTCATGTGGGTGGGGGGCAGGTGATGAGTTTAGGTGAGGGTCAGGCAGCCTCGATGGGCTGAATGACATCTTTCTACACTGTAGGGATTCTATGTGCTGGTTTATGGTGAGGGGGTAATTGAATACAAGAGTAGGGAGGTTACACCTCAGTTATACAGGGTATCGGTGTTTATAACATGGCACTGTAAGCAACTGAGGACTTGCTTTAGCTGGCAGACCAGGAACTGGAGTGAGCTAATACCTAGGGGAATGTGAGGTTATGCACTTTGGCAGGAAGAATAGAGGAACTGAATATTATTTAAATGGAGCAAGACTGCAGAAAGCCACAGAACAGAAGTGTCTGGGAGTCAGAGGGGTTGCCATGGGTACCCACATGGGCCCCAGTTATGCCTGTCTCTTGTGGAACATTCCTTGTTCCAGTCCCCACCCACAACTCTTTCTCTGATACATCGATGGCATCATCGGTGCTGCTTCCCTCTCTCGTCTGGAATTAGAATAGTTTATGAATTTCATTTCCAATTTCCACCCTGCCCTCACTTTCACCTGGTCTAACTCTGACTCCTCCCTTCCCTTCCTCAACATTTCTGTTTCCATTTCTGGGGATAGACTGGCCACTAATATCCATTACAAACCCACCGACTCCCACAGCTACCTGGACTATACATCCTCACACCCCACTTCCTGTAAAGACTCCATCCCATTCTCTCAGTTCCTCTGTCTCCGTCGCATATGTTCAGATGAGGCCAACTTCGAGAAGGGAGCCTCCGAAATGTCCACCTTCTTCCTCAACCGACGATTCCCCAGCTCCGTTGTCGACAGGGCCCCCAACCAGGTCCGACCCATCTCCCGCACTTCCGCCCTCACCCCTTCTCTTCCCTCCCGCAACAGCAATAGGGTTCCCCTTGTCCTTACCTACCATCCCACCAGTATCCACATCCAGAAGATCATCAGACGCCATTTCCACCACCTCCAGCAAGATACCAGCACCAGACATACATTCCCCTCCCCTCCCTTGTCCGCCTTCCGCAGGGACCATTCCCTCCGGGACACCCTGGTCCACACTTCCTTCACCCCCAACACCTCCCCACAGCCCTACGGCACCTTCCCCTGTAACAGGCGAAGGTACAACACCTGCCCATTTACCTCCTCCCTCCCCAGTATCCAAGGGCCCAAACATACCTTCCAGGTGAAGCAACACTTCACCTGCACTTCCCAGAATCTAGTCTACTGCATTTGCTGCTCACAATGTGGTCTCTCTACATTGGGGAAACGAAGCGTAGACTGAGTAACTGCTTCACAGAACATCTCCGTTCTGCTCGCAAAAAACACCCTGAGCTACCCATTGCCTGCCACTTTAACACACCACCCTGCTCCCTGGTCAACATCTCTGTCTCCGGCTTGCGCAGTGTCCCAGCGAAGCTCAGCGCAAGCTGGAAGAACAACAACTCATTTTCCGCTTGGGGACCCTACAGCCCTCCAGACTCAATATCAAGTTGAATAATCTTAGGACTTGAGGCACATTCTCCTATGTCCTTATCCCAACACCCCCATGTTCTCCCCCACCCCCACCCAATACACACAAACACACACACCAGGCCTTGCTATCCCATGGTCTGCTATTAACACAACCCACTGTTAGCCACTAACAGTCCCCATTAGCAGCCATTCATTCTCCCAGGTTGACCGTTATCCACTCCTTTGTCTATCCAACTATTCTTCTCTCTCTTTGGGCTCTATCCCCACCTATTGTTTACTCCTTACCTCCTCTCCCAACCCTATCTTCTGCATAAAAACCAACATTTTCCTAGCTACCATCAGTTACTGGAGCAGAAACTGTTTTCATCCACAGATGCTGAGCCTTTCCAGCAATTTCTGTTTTTGTTTCTTATAGAAGTCAGGTGGTTTTGCTAAAACTATGCAAGGCACTATTCAGACCACAATTGGAACAGTTTAAGGAAGGATATAGCTGGTATTGGAGGCAGTCCACAGAAAGTTCACTCAGCTGATCTCAGGTATGAGGGAGTGTCTGATGAGGAGACATTGGAGTTTAGAAGAATAAGAGGTGACCTTATTGAAACATAAGATTCTTAGGAGACTTGACAGGGGAGATATAGAAAGGTTGTTTCCCCGTGTGGGAGAGTCTAGGACCACGGGGTATAATCTCAGATTAAGGGGTCACACATTGAAGACGGAGAATGAGGAGGAATCCCTTCTCTCCGAGGGGAGTGAATCTGTGGAATTCTTCACCACACAGGGCTGTCGAAGCTGGGTCATTCAGTATATTCAAGGCTGAGACAGACAGATTTTTAATCAGTGAGGGGGATGGGGAAAAGGCAGGAAGGTAGATTATCACATCAGCCATGACCTTATTGAGTGGTGACGCAGACTCAATGGGCAGAATGGCCTCCGACGTCTCATGGTCTAGTGGTGCTGCCCAGATATCAGGGATATTGGGAGTGGAACACTGAAGTTCCACTGGCAGGGCATGTAGGAAAACAGAAAACACAGACAGGGGTTTTACACAGACCGAGCCTTCAGAGAGATGTTGTATCGCTCGGTAAACCATATCATACGTGTCAGGTGGGAGGAAAACCTCAGCTTTTCATCAGAACAGCAAATTTGATCCCTGCAGCAGTTTGTGAAAACCATTTGGCCGAGCATGGAGGAATATTTAAAAATCTCACCGGCAAAAATGAAAGACTGAGCAGATAAGCATTCAGCAACGAGTATGCTGGAAGTGAGAGATGAAGTAATGGTATCGCTGCCTTTACAGGGTGACTGATAGTGAGATTCAGTGGGGACCATATAAAGGAGGGTGGAGAATTAGTAAAGTGACTGCCTGAGAAATACTCCCGATTGTGGGAAGCGGAATCGGTTCTATCACATAAACATGCTGGAAAGGTATCATTGTAGGAAAGAGGAGGAGGAGGAACAAGTCTGTCAGCTGCTATGAGAAGGTAGAAACAATAAGAGTGAGGTGGAAGGACAGATAATTCTCAGTGTGAACCTCCTACAATTTGACTGACTAACAGAGAGATTGGGACACTGTGTTCTCACATTTAGAGAAAGGACTATGAGACGATCGGGTAAAGTTACAGAGGAACTAGGCGGGAATCTGCAGAGATATACCTGGATGTATGACATCAGAGAGACATGATACAGATATAGGAGAGCCAGGAGTGAGAATACAGCATCCTTATTGATTTAGACCTGCAGAAACAAGCTCAGGAGGAAACAGAGATTCGGGACATGTCGGAAAACCACTTGAACAAACGTGGTCAAAGCAGCTGGAGTTCACTGGCTATGTTAGTTCCTAAAACGGATTGATTAATGAGACTCTGTGTAGATTATAGAAAGGTGAATGCAGTCACTGACACTGACTTGTACCCACTTCCAAAGTTGGAAGGCTGTGCTGTGAGGCCTAACAGTGCCTCATTGCTTTCTAAGATTGGTCTATTGAAGGGGGTTCTGGCAAGTGCCATTAAGATCAAGGATTAAAGAGACATTCAGTTTTGTCACACTAGTTTTGGGCTATATCAGTGTCAGGTAATGCAATATGGATTAGAGACATCAGACCAGCATCATTCCAGAGATTTATGAATCAAGGTGGAGCTAAGGTCTATAACTGTGTATTTGGATGATGCAGTTGCTGATGGGAGCACATAAGAGGAACACGTGGGACAAGTCAAAGACATGTTTAAGCAATTACATTTCACTGCATTTGTGATAAAGTTGGCCAAAAGTGAATTTTGAAAAGCACGAGTATGTACCTCGGGCATACTGTAAGACAAGGACAAATATTGACAAGGTCATTTCAAGTTGAGGTTTTAATGGAATTTCTTGTTACTAAAAATAAACAAGAAATCATGAGATGTTTAGGAATGTGTGGGTTTTGCTGGAAATGTGTGTGTAATTTCAGTGTGATCGCTGTACCTTTAACGAAAGTGTTAAAGAAACAAAATTGTGCACATGAAAAACTGAAACTAATCTGAATAACTGAGTCAGTGTTGGTCATCCCTGACCTTTCCAAACAGTGATTGGTGCGGGGGACATGGGGCTGGGTGCTGTCGACATGGGGCTGGGTGCTGTCTTGTTCCAGGATAAGGAATTGGGAATCGAGAAGCGACTGGGGGATTTCTCAAAGAAACTAAAGCAGGAGCAGGAGTAGGACTGCACTGCGGGAAAAGGGACTTTGGGAGTGTTGTTGGTTCTTTAAAACTTTGAAGTCTGTGTCCGCCACAGTAACA